AGAGAGAGAGAGAGAGAGAGAGAGAGAGAGAGAGAGAGAGAGAGAGAGAGAGAGAGAGAGAGAGAGAGAGAGCAAAACAACGGCTATAGGGCGCATGTCCGTCAGAGAGAGAGGGCCTCGCCACAACACTCTCTAAATGTGAAAAAGACAAAACTGTGGAGGGTGCATCTGGCCATGCTCTACGGGGAAGTTCATTCTCATTTTGCCCATTTCGAGAGTGGTGTGGCGATGCCCGCAGAGAGAGAGAGAGAGAGAGAGAGAGAGAGAGAGAGAGAGAGAGAACAAACGGCTATTTTGACGAACCAAACGTTTTTCTTTTTGTGCGTGTGTGTGTGTGAGAGAGAGAGAGAGAGCAACGGCTGCGCCACTGCTGGGCAGACTCGTCGGGGTGACGGATGCAGGTCTCGTAGTGAATCTTCCCCCGATAGAAGGGAGGATACAAGGCCTGCATCCGTCACCCCGACCAGACTGCCTAGCAGGGAGGCAACATATGGCCGTGGCTCTCTTTCTGTCTGTCTGTCTCTCTCTCTCTCTCTCTCTCTCTCTCTCTCTCTCTAATAAAAAGAAAAAAAGAAAAAAAGAAAATTCGCACAAAAGTCGGAAAAAAGAAAAGGTAGATGGCGGCGGCGTTTTTTTTTTTTTTTTCCTGGCTGAGAGCAACGACAATTTCTTTTTTTCTTTTTTTCTTTACGACAATTTCTTTTTCAGTACAGGACCTGATGCTGTCTGGGTACCTGCGTACAAACAAGTGTGTGCTTGACCTGCGGCCTGGGCTAGGTACCTTTGGACTTTGACTGTTGGGTGGACCGACAATTGACTAAAATCAACTGTCACACGCTTTGCCCTTGTTCGGCCTGGGCTGAGGACGGCCAAGTAGGCCCTCTGACGACCCTCAGTTCCACGAGATATATGACATGGGTTATTGCATTCTTCTTCGTCTTCTTCTTCCCCCCACCATCACCCACCACACATCGTCTGTTTTTTTTTTTTTTTTTTTGTATCGACAATTCGTTAGACACTCGTCATCCACCCATCTTTTGTTTTTATTTTATTATTATTTTTTTTTATTTGAAAATTTGTAGTGTGAGGATTGAGCCCTCAAGCAGGGGCCTTGCCATGATGTACATGATCTGGGCTAAGGCCCCAGCAAGCCTCGTGCCCGCCCTAAGTGAAGACGGGCCAGCAAATCAACAAGAGCCCTCTGTGCCAACATTTCACGAAGTGGGGTCCATACAGTTGTAGCACGCCAGTTGGTTGGAGTGCACCGAGTCTCGGATTTCAGCAAATGCTGAAATGCCCAGGGCCTCTGAGTCAGTTAGGCCCTGGGCACTCGAATGTGAGGCCGACAATGCATGCTGGGTATAGAGGCCGAAAATGCCAAAGGGAAATCGGCCCACTGTCTGAATCTGGCCGCAGGCCTTGATGAAGGAGGCGCAACTGCATTGCCCCGGGGCCCAACTGTATCGGGCTGGGTTCAGCCTCTGGGTCCCGGTCACAGGCTGAAGGGAGGCCGCCCACGCGCTGCACGGGCATATAGGCAAGCAGGGCGAGTGGGCAGGCATCTTGGCCATTGCGGGCAATGCCGGCACGCTGCGCAAATGCGAGCTGCTGCTGCTGCTGTGCTGCGCTAAGAGAGGTGCAAGGCAGGCCAGCGCTAGGCGGTAGGGCGCTGCCTGCGCACCAGGGCACTGGCGGCCATAGCCGGGCCGCATGAGGGTGTAGTGAGGGTGAAGGGCGAAGGTGGTCTTCGGAGGTGAAGGGCGCTGTGTGGGTAACAGGGAAGAGTGTGGGTGAAGAGGACACGTACCTGGTGAAGGTGGAGGTCGGCATTGGTGTTGACATCATCACTCGCTGGTAGTCAAGTTGTCTGGTTGCTTTCATTGCTGTAGTTGTAGGATAGGCTGTAGAGTAGATAGGGCGCCTGGCGCCATTCACAAGAGAGAGCTACATTTGGGTTATGCTGTTGGTGTTGCCCTGTTGGGCATGGACATTGACTCACGATTCTTCTGCTCAATTGGATGGTTACTCGGTTCCATTGTACTATCTGCTTTGGTTTTGACTACTTGGACTTCAGTGTGATATTGCATTCTGGATTTCTGTGCTTCGTCCATACTCATGTTCCCTGCAGTAGGCACTCATCATCCACCCCTTCTTCTTCTTACCACCATCACCCAACCCCACTTCATTTTCATTTATTTAATTTGTTTTCAGAAATTCGTTGGCCACTCTTCATCCACCCCATCTTCTTCTTCCTCCTCACAACCCCCACTTCTTTTTTTTTCTTTTTTGTAGAAAATTTGTAGGCACTCGTCATCTTCTTCTTCTTTTTGACAACCATGACGGGTAATAGGGAACCATTCGAACCCGATAGTGGTGAAGCCAGAGAGGACCTGCTGAGGATATCTGATGTTTGGAAATGGGTGGACCAAGCGCAGAAGTCGTTGGGGGTTACGTCACATGGGAACTGGAGATTCGGGTGCAGATTGTGCAATAAAAAATTTTCCGCAATGACACCGAGAGCGGCGAAGCACTTTGTCTGATCGTCTGATGTTGCTCACTGCAAGCACAGCACCGGGGAGATTGTTGTTGTGGTCCGCAAGTGCCACCCATCACAAGGAACTCTGCGCAAAGATGATGAAGAAATTAAACGAGTATTACAAGACGCAGGGACGCCCACCGGTTGCGGAGGATCCCGTGGATTTGGAGCCCATTCATCGCACGGGGGCAGAGGGTGGTCATGACACACCCCCATCAAGAACAGAGCAGCCCCCACTTGCACAATGATGAGATGCCACCAAAGACTGCCGAGCGCTTGTGGGTCCTATACTAGCTTCCGCTTGCCCACCACGACCTCCCCCCGCCGGTGTGAGGCGGCAGCAGTCATCCATGACTGGTTTTCTCGTGAATAAGCTCCAGAAAGAGTTTGACCAGGCGATCGCCTCATTCTTCTTCCATAACGCCATTGCATTCAACGCCACAAGATCAGACTCCTATAAGAACATGGAGGGGATCATGAACGAGGCAGCCAGGTCGCAAAAGATATTGAAACTTCCAGGGTACAACTTTTTGATACAGGCCTCACTTTGATGACGGACGGCATGACACCGACCAGCAACAGGCTGGTCATGAACTTCATTGCAGCCGGGGATTCGAGGGTTGTCATGGTGTGGAGTGTTGATATGGAGGGGAAGGACAAATCGGCTCCGGCTTTGGCGAGGATGTGGGACGAGGTCATTAGGGAGTTGGGAGTGCACAAGGTCAATGCCATATGCACCGACTCTGCACAGGTGAACATATCCGCAAGGAAAATACTAGCTGAGCCCGACGACCCAGCAATCGGGAGCATTCCTTCAGTGATCGTGCATGCCATGTGTGTAGCCTGCTCATGTGCGACATCGCTTCAGTGCCATGGATTGGAGAGGTAATTCTGCAGGGCAGGGAGATAACCACCTTCATCAAGAGACATCAGAAGGCTTTGGCGATGTTCAGGAGGGCTGGGAGGGATTCGACGTTGGAGTTGATCCAACGAGGGGAAACGAGACTCGGCACAAACTTCCTCATGTTGCAGAGACTTCGGTAGGAGACAGAGTTGCTGGCGACTGTATCCCATGCGCGGTGGGGCGACTCCCAATGAGACCGGACTACATCGACAAGGGCGCGAGCATGCAAGGATCTCAGACGAGACCCGGCTTGGTGGTTAGCCGTCGAGAGGCATGCAATTTGCTTCAGCCCGTTTTCGCATTGATGAAGGACATGGACAGAAACGGGAGGATGGGGATGCAGGTCTGATCTTGGGGATAAAGTTGGAGAAGAGGACGGCCATTTTGCCCATGGATTGAGAAACAAGGGAGATCGTGATGAAGAAGGTGAAGGAACGTGTGCGGATGGCTCTCCTTGTGCATGCAGCAGCGTGGATGTTGCACCCACGCCTCAGATCGCCTAGATTATTCCACGACTTGGAGTCTGAGGAGATCATGAACACTCAGGCACTGCGGTTTACACAAAAAATTCGGAGTACAAAGAGCGCTGGAGGCCTCTAGAAAGTTTCCATCAAAAAGATGCGGAGTGGATTCGGCCGAACTCAGAGGAGGCTTGAAAAGGCACTCACGTTTCACCGGCGCAATGGTGGTCAACATACGGGAAGAATCACAAGTCGTTGCAGAAGATTGCAGTCGGAGTGCTCAGTATGTGGACAACCCCCTCTCCATGCGAGAGGAATTGGTACACCTTCGACCTCAGTCACACAAAGAGGAGAAATCTGTTGAGCCCAGATAACTTGCAGATGCTTGTCGTCATCCATTGGAACAAGAAGTTGCTGAAGATATTGAAGACCAAGATCGGGTTTGTTAACACCAAGCGACTGGAGTGGGAGACACCAGAGGACTTCGCTCCCTATGATGGTTTCATGCAAGACATCAAGTACGACCAGGAGGAAGCGAAGAGGAGGGCCGCAAACTGGTGCAAATCTCGCGGCCGTAGATCGAAGTCGACAAAATTCTACATTCAGGAGCTTGAGGAGTGTGGAAGACAGGGCATGGCTCCTTGATCTGTCTTACCACCCTCGTCGTCTTGCAGATCATGACCGTGGGACGACCGTTGTTGATGTTGATGACGAAGAGCTTAGCCATGACAGCGTGGAAGATGACGAGTTGGTTCGAGTGAAAATCGTTGACAAGCGGTCGACTAGGAGGTCGGGAGGTGGCTCATCTTCTTCCTCCCAGCGCGACGACATCACAAAGCCAGAGGTCCTTGCATCTGGCAGACGCTCGGCGGGCACTTCAGCCTTGTTCACCGCTGAGGAGGGTGTTCGTTCGCGACGCCGGACTTCCATATTAGGTGGTGCAGCTTTGCTGCAGGGGACGGCCCCACAATCGGGAGCACAGCTCACCCATCATCGACGACTCACACTCGAGGAGGTAGGCACTGCTTGTGGGACCACACTCGCGGGGTCGGAGCACGTCGTTGATGACAGTGATGCGGTGGAGGCAGATACGTCTCTTGGTACAGAGTCTTGCTCCAGTGGAAGCAGATGCGTTAATCGGTGTGCGTGGGGATGATCTGGTCGGTGAGCGTCGTGGGGATGATCCGATCGGTGCCACTGCTGCACATGATGATGGTGTTGTTGGTGCAGACACGGAGACGGACGATGGTCCCATTGCGAGTGGCGATGTGTTCTCCACTCCGGATCCGGGGTTGCGATTGGGGGAGAGATTTGCCTCCCTGTTGCCGTATGTGAACCCTATTGCCCTGCGTGGCTCTGCACAAGACTTCGGTAAGCACCTGGCTTCGATGTCCCCAGTGCGGACTGATAACAAGTCTAACACCCCTGATTGGGCCAGATTCACCGAACCCACCACGCCCACACGACGGTTGAACGAGGACATTCAGCTGGTCGCTGGGGAGCGCACACATACCCAGGTTGACAGGAGGACCCCACCAGTCCAGGATGGTGGAACGACCCCACCACATGACATGAATGCACGGAGTGGAACGGTATCACCGCCCCACATTGACAAGAGCAAGGTGCGCCAACTGAAGAGTTTGGCGGGCAGAAAGAAGGGAGGGAAAAAAAGGAAAGGGAGGCAGCGGCAGGCACGACGAGAGATGGAAGAAGGAACGTACGCAAGACTGTCACGCCGCCCAAGACCTTGGAAGAAAAGAGTGCTGTTGTTCGACAGGCGACGAGGAAGAAGGCTCAACAAGTGCAAAAGAAAGTCGCGGCAGCAAATCGATTTCCGAAACACAGGCCGCAGAAGAAGACGAGACTGTGCAAGAGGACGATGAATCGAGTAGCAGCAGCTCTTTGCCTTCAACGCCTTCGTCCAGATCGGGGTCGACATCGTCGTCAACTGACAAGAGTAGCAGCAGTGAATGAAAGTGTGTTGTTCATGTGTGTGTGTGTGACAGAGAGACTGAGAATCTTCTTCCATTTCTTCTTTTTCTTCTTCGTCTTCTTCTTCTTCTTCTTCTTCTCCTCCTCCTCTTCGTCCTCTTCATCTTCTTCTTCGTCTTCCTACTCTTCATTCACCTTCTTTTCTAAGGTGGCCCAGACGTCGGGGACAATTGAAGTGATGCTTTTCAGCAATTGAATTGAGCACCTCTGCGGACTTGGTGTGTCATCTTGTTCATCTTCCTGTGTTCCCTCCCCCTTCCACTGGGGGGCGGGGGAGTCCTTTTCATCTGCAATAATGTCGACAACCATCCCCCGACGGAACCCCCAAACACCCTCCCCCCACCAAACACGCTGCCGCGAACACCACTGCAAAACGCAGCAAAATGCTGCAAAAGTCCCTTCCAGCAAGCCCCTCGGAGCCCTCGAATAGCCCCTCAGGCAACCCACCCCCAAACACCACCGCAAAACGCAGCAAAATGCTGCAAAACGGTCCCTGACAGCAAACCCCTCGAAACCCTCGAATAGCCCCTCAGGCAACCCMCCCCGCCCCTCAGGCAGCCCACCCGCCCCCCCTTACTCTTCATTCTCCTTCTTTTCGAGGTTGGCCCAGGTGGGCTCGCTTCTTCATCTTCTTCTTCTTCTTCATCATCTTCTTCTTCTTCTTCTCTAGTTCTTCTTCTTCTCTTGTTCTTCTTCTTGTTGTTGTTCTTATTGTTCTTCTCCTCTTCGTCATCTTCATCTTCCTCTTTGGCTAACTCCTCTTCATTCTCCTACTTTTTGAGGGTGGGTCAGGTGGGCATGAATCTTGGCTCGGTTTTTCAGACGTCAGGTACAATCACACACTATTGAAGCTGTCTCTTATACACATCTAGATGTGTATAAGAGACAGCCCGAGGCCCTCCACTGTTAGGGCGGGGAGTGCTTTCCATCTGCAATAATGTCAACAACCATCCCCCGATGGAACCCCCGAACACCCTTCCCCCCCAAACACCCTGCCCCCAAACACCCTACCCCCTCAAACACCGTGCCCGCAAACAGTACTGCAAAACGCACCAAAATGCTGCAAAACGGTCCCTTCCATCAAATCCCTCAGGACCCTCGAATAGCCCCTCAGGCAACCCACCCCGACCCCCTTAGCAGACCCCCAACCCTGCCATCCTGGACACCCCCTCCTCCTTATCGACACTCTGTGCTCGTGTGTGCGCAAGTGCAACAATGTGTTTGAGTCCAAGTTCGGTGAGCCAGATGGAGTGATTGAGAGTTGGCTGGCCGACCATTGTTGTTAAGCAGCTCTTGTAATGTATGATGAATCAAGTAATCAGCCCCCACTCTGCTTGGCAGTTGCTCTTCGCCAAAGGAGTTGCCGTGCATCTAGGAGCGTTTCCTGGAAGACAAAAAGCCAAGGAAGAGGCCGAGCATCACATGTCAGAATCACTTGATGGACAATGTGACTCTCTCTCTCTCTCTCTCTCTCTCTCTCTCTCTCTCTCTCTCTCTCTCCCCCCCCCCCCCCCCCCAATTCAACTCATCCCTTCCACTCTTCCGGCCTCCCTCCACCCAACCTCCTCCCGCCCTCCACCTCACTTCCACCAAAACCACTCCCACCCTCCACCCAGCCTTCCTGCTCCATACGCCATACCTCCTATCCACCTCGCCAACTGTGGCGACCGTCCCCCTCCCATTGCATGATCCTCTTCCCCCACTGTGCCCACTTCCACCAAAACAGCGCCAACCCTCCTTCCCCACAGCACCGACTCTCTGTCTTGCTCTTCCTCCTCAAGCCCGTCCTCTCTCTCTCTCTCTCTCTCTCTCTCTCTCTCTCTCTCTCTCTCCCTCTCTCTCTCTCTCTGCAGACACAGAGAAGATTAGCATGCCCTGCAGGGATGACACTCTTCATGCTCCTCGCGCTCTTCCTCCTCTCCATGCTCTTCTTCCTCCTCGCGGTCTTCCAATTAATGTTCTCTTCCTCCTCATTCCCTTATTCCTCTCTCTCTCTCTCTGTGTGTGTGTGTGTGTGTGCGTGTGTGTTTAAATCCGATCGATACAGAGAAGTGTAGCATGCTCCTCTGAGAGACCGACTTCGAATCCGCCCCTCGATCAATGTGCTCTTCCTCTTTCTGATGCTCTTCATCCTCCTCATTCTCTTCCCGCTCTTCCTCCTACTAATGCTCTAACTCATTCTCTTCCTGCTACTCCTCCTCACGCTCATCTTCCTCGTCACGGTCTCTCTTGTTTTTCCTCTTTTTCTCCTTTTTTTTAATAGAACGGCCTGCTAGCGCTAGAGGTGCTTGTAATGTGATCTTCCGTTTCCACATGCCCTTCGTCCTCCTCAAGCCCTCTCTCTCTCTCTCTCTCTCTCTCTCTCTCTCTCTCTCTCTCTCTCTCTCTCTCTCTCTCTCTCTCTCTTCCCCCCCCCCGCCGCCTAACTTCTCTCTGCCGCCTTTCCCCTTCCAGCCTCCTCCCGACCTTCTCTTCTTAACATTCCTCCACCCTACCACCTTCCCCCCCCTCCTTTCTTCGCCCAATTTTCACCTGACCTCCATCCTCCCCGATCTCCTCCCTTCCCTCTCCTCCCTTCCCTCTCCTCCCTCCATTCCTCCCTTCAGCCGACCTCCTCCCTCCCTCCAACCTGCCTCCCTTCTTTCGTAACACCCGACCTAAGAAGTGCATCTCGTTTTTTCCCCCTTATCAGTGGAGGTAAGCGCTTCATTTCTTTTCAAGGTCTCAATCAGGGTGCGCACGCACCAAGGAAGAGAGAGGGAGAGGGACAGAGGGACAGAGAAAGACAAACATCTCAATTAACACTCTTCCTCCTCCAGATCCTCCTCAGGCTCTTCTTTCCCCTTCACGCTCTTCCGTCCCCTCACCTTCTCCTTTGCCCTTCTCTTCCACCAACCAACATACGCCTCTCACCTCCTCGAGCTCTTCCTCAACATTCTCCACTCACTCTTTGGGGGCGACCTTGAGATTAATCATCGAACTGACCCGCGGCAGGTATATCAAGGGATCGATACTTCTTGCAGCAGTGCACACTGTTCTTTCCCCGCCCCCCACCCCCACCACAGTGAAGCTCCTCTCTCTCTCTCTCTCTCTCTCTCTCTCTCATGCGAGGGAGGAAGGAGTGGTCCCGAGGCAGGACTGGAGGAAGGGACAAGGATAGGCCGAGGGAGGAGGGACAATTGCTGCCTCTCTCTCTCTCTCTCACACACACACACACACAAACACACACATTATCCCATTCCCCCTCTTACCCCTGTCACCCCTTTCATAGGTTCAATTCGCTGAAAGAAACTCATCCTCTTTCCCTCCCTCTCCCCCTCTCTATCTCTCTTTCTCTCTCTCTCTCTCTCGGGCACATGCGCACGGATAGAGAAACGAAATGCATCATTTATGTCGATTGGGACAAAAAAGGGATGAAGTGCACCCGCTTGGTCGGGAGAGGCAGGGTTAAATTAGGAGGAAGGGCCCCAGGAGGAAGGAAGGTGGGAGGAGGGAGAATTGAGGCCTAAGGCCCAAGGACGGAAGGAGGCAGGGAGGAGAGGGGGAGGAGTCAGGGCAGAGGGAGGAGGAATGCCCAAGGAAGGAGGGAGGGAGAGAGGACAGAGGGCGGAGAGAGGCAGATCAGGCGGAGGTCGAGTAGAGACATAAGGGAAGGGAGGAGGAGGGCAGGAGGAGGGCAGAGAGGAGGTCAGGTGGAGATCAGGGAAAGGGAAAAGGAAAGAATTGGAAGGGTGGGAGGAGGGACGAGAAATGGAGACTCACTTGAGTCGGTAATGCCAACAAAGCCTTCGACCATGATTTATCCCAGTCGTCCGCGTTACACAAAAGTAGCAATGCCTCAAGCTCACGTTGCAGTAAGCCATGAAATTCTCGATTAGCATAGCACCAAGCTCACAACACACATAGCATCAAGCTCACCCACATAGCTCAGATTTATGTTGCCAGCACCAATGCAAGTCAACGGAGCACGTCGCCCATGCACATCCTCCTTTTCGTACCTAGCCTGCAAAGTCACATGATGAAACCCACTCGCGTTGCTTATTTCTCCTTCCCATTCCTCCTCTTGGTGCACCCTTTTTTCTTTTTTTTCCCCATCTTAGGTCAACGCTTCCTGCATCCTCCTCTTTTGCTCCTCATCCTCCGATGTCAACGTGCCTGCCAAGTCACATTGTGAAACCCTCCCCACATTGCTTATTTCTCCTTCCGCTTCCTCCTTTTCGTCCACCTCCTCACTTTTCGTCAGTCCCTTTCTACTTCTATGGTGACCACGATCAGACACTTGGCACGCGGACCTCTTCTTCGCCGTCCTCCTCACTTTTCGTCCGTCCTTTTGACCACCACCTTTCCAACGTGATCGTGGCACAGCAACCTCCTCCTCCCGATCTGTTCCTCCCCAGTCCTCTCCCTGAACTTCCTCCTCAAGTTGGCTGATCATGGAATACCTGAAACACAGCATGATGACCTTGTCTCCCACGTCCACTCCTTCCTCCTACTATTTCTCCCTCCGCTTCCCCTCAAGTTGACGCTCATTTGCAGCTAAACGACCCGGCAAGAGCAGTGAGGCAGATGGAGAGGCTCGCATGTCCAGGATCATCAAACATCCTCCCCTCACCCCGTTCTCAATGCCACATCATTTTCATGAAAGCTATCACCAATCTTGCAACCAAGCGGGAAAGCGAGCATCAGCTATCAGCAGGAGCTTGGAGGCAGCAGCGGTTGCAGGTGGATGAAGTTAAACAACTGCTTCAAAAAGAGAGTTTTGAAGTACAAGGTGGTGACTGCCTGATGATTGCAGCTGGGTCTGGAACTCACACACAAATCTTGAGATAGCAACTGCATGATGACTTAAACACTGAGGGCGACTGGATCCCCAAAACCAGACAGGGACCCAGTCTACCTCAGTGAACTCATCAGCCAGTTGGTACTCCAAGATCTGTGCATGGGTTCAAACCCCGGCTGCGACCATTAGGTCATGCAATCTCAACATGGAATTCACTGCTATCTCACCTTGGACTTCACTGAGATGTATGTATATATATATCGTCAAATATATATGTATATATACGTATGTATACAGTGCAATCAGACTCGTTCTCAAACACACTTTTCATGCATGTAAACAGCAACGCAGTATACTGGC